ATACCTGTGGTGGATGACGATGCCGGGGAAGCGTGTACCGGGTTATTGTCTTGTTCTGCAGGAGTTGTGGTGAATGGGGATAGGCTCTCAGTGGTAGGCCTGGTGTCAGTGTGTGTAGGATCATCGATGGTGGCTCGTTTTTGTCCACGTGTGGTTGTGGTGGGGGAGATCTCAATTGTGGAAACTGAGAGAGGTGGTGGGGAGGGCGTGTTTATCGGAGTGCTGGGAGTGGTGGATCGTTTTGGTTTCTTTGATGCTGGTGTGCTGGGGGCCGCATTGTGTGCTTCCGGCGCACGGAGAGTTTCAATTGTCTCCAGTGCTGTTGAAAGTCGTGCTTCAAGGTCGCTGATACGATGGGCCGCCAGAGTGTCAGTCTCTGTCGACTGCGAAGGTTGGAGTGGGAGATGAGGTTGTGGTTTGCTGGATTGTGGTGGTGTTGGAGATTCGGTGGGTTGCGATTGTGTGTTTTCGGTGTCTGCTTTGGCGTTTTGCTTGTCCTTTTTGTTGCCGTCGTTGTATTGGTCCTGCAGCTCCTGCAGGTACAACACCAATTCCTTAATAAGGTGTGACATTGCTGGTCGTTTTGCAAGTGTGAGCTTTTCTTGCCAGCAGAATGCAGTGGCCGCTTGGTCCAGATCAATTCTCCTTGCTCGGAGTTGACCCATAAGTTCAGTGGTGAAAACGGCTTCGCTGACGTGTTTGCTGCATGTGAGATGAATGTCGAAGCCATGCGCAGCGTACCGTAGCCAGTACGAAGACCAATTGTGTCGCAAAAATGCGACCAATGGTGCTGTTGCGATTGGCATGCCTGCTGTGCGGTTATGCACTGAATGTGGTGTAGATTGAATGTGTTTGGGGAGGTTGAGGCCAAAAAGCTGCCTGTTGTCCCAATGCTCCGGTGTTTGAACAAAGTCGTTTGGTATCTGGGGATTTGCAGGCGTAGGGTTGGGGTGTTGCTGTTGTTGGGTTGCGACGGTGGCTTGAGGTAATGTGTGTGACGAAAAGCTGGGGTTTCGAGTCGTCATCGGAGATGGACTCACAAATGTGTGTTGGGGAGTGGCAGGAGTGGGGATTGGTAATGTGGTGGGTGGAATTGGTCCGGGAAACTGTTGGGGTGGGGGAGGGGGTGGAGGGAAAGGTGGGAACGTGTTGTTGTGGCTGGAAATGTGAGCCGGACCCCAAGTAGTCGGGATTGGTGATGAGGTGTGTGGTGGGATATTGTGTATCCCTGGTGGTGGGGAGATCGGGTGCAATGGAGTATTGCTGGTCGAGGTTGCTTGTCTCTGCACGGTACTGATTGCTGTGCCGATGATGCCTGTTGGCATTGTTGTATGCCACTGAGGCTGTGTCGGCTTGTACATGGTTGCACAGTGGGGCACTACAGTTGCCTGTGGCTGCAAAAGCTGCACATGAAACATGCATGATCAACCTGGTTGGGTTGATCGTCAACATCAACTTGTGCGAGGCATCCAGCATGCAGCTGCATCGAGTCTTCTTTGGCTCAAAAGCGAGGTCGGAGCAAATGCCTTATTGCAAACGCCTATGTGTACAGGGATTCAGGCCTGGAAGAAAAGTACTAAAGAGTTGCAGGAAGAAACATAAGAAGAAATCAACATCACTGAATGAGGCCGAATCCAACAATGCTGAAGTGCCCGGAATGGAATCCCCACTTCTCCGGGGTCCGTACAACACCCTTTCGCCCCACGATGTAGGCTTCTCTGTACATGTCCCGATACGTCATCTTGTAATGCTGATACTTAGTCCGTATTGTCCCGATGACGATCACGCCCTGTTGGCCCTTGGGCCGCCGCGTACATTGATCGGTAATTATATGTACCGTGCTCTCCGACACATCTCCTGGGGTTGCACTCCCGTATATGACGCAAGAGGGAATGGGTGGATAGGACTTGTCGTCGAAGCAATGGCTGATAGAACTTGGGCGGACCAAGTCCTCACGCATTATGCGTGCGGCACTTGCAATGCTCGTGCCGTGTCCGGCGGTGTAGATGTATGTTTCCCCTGGTGGGTCAGTGGCACGAGTGCCGAATGCTCTGCGAGTCTCACCAGCCCACGGGATGAATAACATAGTATGCACGCCGTCCGATATTGGCGTCAGCGTTGCTCCCAATTCGTTGCACGCTGAGCGCGTGCCCGACTGTAATACGGCATGCGCGAAATCGGTTAAAGTCTCCTGCCTGAAATCGCTGTCAGCAGCTATCTCGCCCAAAGTTTTGGCGAGTTTGTGCGCTTCCTCCAAGTCGACAGCGTGGGGGGTCGGCTTTTCATGATCATAAAGCTCAGAGAAAGGCGCCACATCAATCTGTGGTGGTCTGCTCTGTTTGCCCAGTTGTTCGAGGGTTGGCTGACCCGATGGGGCAGCAGTTGTGGATGCATCGTAAGTCGGAGCAGGTGTCCGAACAGAGCTGGGGGGATTGTGCCGAAGCTGTTGGCGCGAGGATGTGCCCTGGCTTGTTGGGGGCTGCTGTTGTGCGGCTTGGCTGCCCTTGATGCGGAGGGCGATGCGCTGAACCTGCGAAGCCAATGTTTTTTGTGGGACCTTGGGTGGGGTAGGTGGCCTTTGACGTGGCTGTGTGGCTCTGTAATGCCACTTGTTGGCATCATCATCACGCACTGTAGAATAGCTGCGGAGCACAACCGAGGTCCGAGGAGGCGTCGATGAAGCACGCCTGGTGTCCCTGCGAGAACGGCTTCTGCGAGTGTCGCGGGATCGATGGTGTCTGCGTCGGCGGTGCTGTCTGCCGCTGCTTGCCGGCCGTGCTCGGCTGCGCGTGTGTCGACGGCGTCTAGTGCTCGCGGTGCGAGTCCTGCTGCGTGTGGGAGAATGCCGTCGTCTGCGTGGCAGCGGAGGATGATGGGGGGAAGTACGGGCTGCGAGCTGGTCAGTGTCTGCCGATCCTGTATCTGGGGGTGGTGGTGGTTGTGCGGGTGGTACTGTGTTGACAGAAGGGGTATTGGCTGTGTTTGTTGGTTGTTGCTGTTGGGGCGTCATTGCCGGTGTCTGCGGGGCAGTGTATGCCGCATCGGCAGTGGGAACACTGGTGGGATGGGGTTGTGGAGCTTGTTGAATTGTTGTTGGCGGCGGTATGTGGGGTTGTTGAATGGGCTGTGTGGGAGGGAGATGGCAGGGTGCAAGTTGTGGTTGTGGGGCAGGTGGTGCAAAAGGAAAGTTGAATGTAGTAGGTTGGGCCTGATGCTGTGTTGAAGCGGAAAGGCTCATGGGAAAAGCTGTTGGATGGGTAGGCACAAGTGCAGGATTCATGAGCGGTGTGGGTTGTTGTGGCATGAATTGCTGGGGTGGTGGTTGTTGTGGCATCTGGGGTTGTGGTGTGCTGAGATGTGCGTAGATTGTCGGATGCTGTGGGATAGGAGCGGTGTGTCCACACGGCATCATGGGGAAGCCGTGTGTTTGCTCAAGAGGAATCGTAGTGGGTTGTGTTGGCAGTGTGGGCTGCTGAGTGGCAGCAATGCCGGTTGGCATCATTGCTGGGTAGCTTTGAGACTGCGGCACCCAGGTGTTCTGGTGAAATTGATTAAGCACCGGTCGGGCTGTTGGTGCATATGGTGTTGCTGGCGGCTGCGCGGCAAAATGTTCCGGCCACATAGCTGCAACGAAGCGGGTGAAACGCACACAGTTGCACAAGCAAAGTGCAGGCTGTCCTGATTGTCCCTGCTGGACTGATTTGAGAGGTCGTAGACGGAGAGAAGGAAGGTGGAGGGCCGAGTACTCTCCGGAGAGAGCGCTGCTTCACTTGCTGTAGACATCTTTACCACGTCTGCACTCATGACAGATGCACATGCCCTTGCAGTCCCTGAGGAATAGAGAAGTGAAAAAACCCCGGGGCAGAATAGAGAGAACCTGTGCATTAGCGGCCGGTTACTGCACTAGACGTCGGTTACTGCAACTGCACTCATGTCAGACTCACATGCGGGCATCAGAGAGAGAGAGATAAAGTAGCATCGGGAGATTCTGAACGATCTGAACGAAGGCTGAACACCCGGTTCATCACCGGTCTCCCCGGAGGGTCACCACGGCGCCATGACGGAAAGCCGTTGCTCTGGAGTCTCATCGACCCACGCTGATCACACTGATGGATTCGGCCAAGAGTACGAGTGCAAGAGGAAAAAGAGAGGCATGTTGTTCATGTTGTAAAAGTTTGTCAGATTGTGGCAACCGTACAACTTGTTTGTATAATCTGGACACCACAGGGGGCCTGTCCTCACACTAATCTTGGCACCACAGGGGGCTGCCGAAAATTGCGCAGGTACATGACTGAGCGTCCTCAATCACTTCCCTTCCAGTGACCTAGCTTCGTTGGATCAGGTCAGTCACTGGAAGCCTGATCCCCCTGCAACATTTGAATCGTTAAGTGTCAAATATCTGATTGTGTTGCAAAGCAAAATTGCAAGCAGTGTAGGAGTGACCCTCTGCTCCCATGTACTAGGGAGGTTCACACACACACACACACACACACACACACACACACATACATACATACATACATACATACATACACACATACACACACACACACACACACACACACACACACACACACACCCCGTCCCGGAAGCACGCACGCACGCACGCACGCACGCACGCACGCACGCACACACACTCTCTCTCTCTCATAAAACTTTTATTTTGTTTTTGACTCTTTTTTACTTGATACCTTTGTATTTCTTTTTGATCCTTTTCAATTTATTTGTTGATCCCTATCCCGACATTCTAAGTGGGAATGACTTTTCCTGATGCCTTGAGAGACTTGAGAGCTTTCAGAGCTCAGCTAAGGAGAGTTCGGCAAGCACTAGGCGCCTTTCTATAGAACATCATCTGAGACACTCCAGGCCTCAACTCGAAAAGATGGAGCCACGAGCCGCGAATCCGCACAAAATTTAGTAGAGAGCTTCTCTTTTCAAGAGCGGCTCCGAAGCGCATCTGAAACGCCGTGTGCCACTAGTCGATGTTGAGCTCTAGACCCCTAGTCTCGCAGCATGGACACCGTCTTCACGGTCCCTGCCCGAAGCTTCAAGTACTCATCCAAGAAACCTTGGATTCGCTTTCTGTGAACTGGGAATTAAGGAAGCTAAGCAAAGGTTCACCAGATCCAAAGTAAGTTCTGTGTTCCTCTGAACTGCTGAACTCCTGACGCTTCACAAGACCCATGCCAAGCAGCCTTCTAGCTGAGCTTCTCTTTTGTCTGGATCACCTCCTGAACCGAGATTGGAGATGCTGTCAAAGGTTCCATAGCCTGAGGATTCGCAGACAAGGTCTTCGGGTCATGGCACAACGCTGCCCGAGAAGGCTCCTGATTCCCGAATCCCGTAGATCCTCTGATGCAGTCCCTTAGCCGAAGTGTTTTTCCGTAGACCAGTGATGAAGCCCGTGCCAGTGCCGATGGATGGAACCATTCGCCAGCTGTGCAGAGACGTAGTCCTCTGGACGCAGCAGCGCCGTCAACACACTTGCTGAATGTCGAGATGATGGCAGGGACTTAAGAAGCACTCAAGGGCTTGCTATGCCGCCACGGTCCTTTGAAGGATACTGCAAATTTGCAGCCAAAGGAAAACCCAAGCCGGGCATCTGAGGGAGCACATTAGCTGCCCAACAAAGCCTGGGTGATCAAGGGCTTCATCAGTAAGTCACGCCCGCACGTGCATGCACTCTCATTCTCACCACCCACACCTATGTTCACACTCACACTCATGATCACGTGCAAACACCATGTCTCGTCTTCTTCTTCTTTGTAAGCATGGGGGTTTGTTCTTCATTCACATCTCTTTCGCTCTCTCTCTCTGTGTCTCTAGAATGGAATCGGCTTTCGAACACAGCTGGCTGTGAGTAGCAATGAGAAGCGACCCTACCATTTCGTTATACGTGCCCTGAGTGCCAATGCCACAAATTCACGGCAATTTGGCCTCCTCAGCATAAGACCCCGCAGTATTTGGAGCGCCGGCTCCCATGAAACGTTGATCCATAATGCTGAGGCTCGGAAGGTTTCGCACCAAAAGCCGTCCCCACTCCAGGCATGCAAGTGGCCGACGCAGATGGCCTTGCAATTGCAGCATCATACCTGCGAGCCTCCAGTGCAGATGTCGGTAGTCTTCGTAGTAGTGGTGGTTCAGAGTGTTGAACAGGGCCATCCACAGGTAGACGCAGTGATCCCAGAACGGCACAAACACCTCTGGCAGCCAAAGCCCGCGGCTGCACGTTTGGGGGTCTAGGCTCTAGGCAGTACGGTGTTTCCCACTCTTGCCGCTCTTGCTTGGACAACAATCGCTCAGGGCTGGAGCTAGAGCTGGATGATTGAAGGTCCAATTACCACCTCCCGGCCGGAGCTCATGTGAGACGTGCGCTGGGAGGGCTGGACGACTGAGTGCGTTACAAACGCCAGCTGGCTCCACGTGGCCTGCAGTCCGTGATGCGAGCTTGGAGGTGAGCCTCTATTAAACTCGTTTACACATGCAGCCCCACTTACCCTTACACTTCAATTTCGTGGTCTCCAGCAGCAAAAAGAGGGACCTGGAGCAAAGATGTCCCCACCTCGACTGGAGACTCCAAGAGCCCGCTGTCCTGCGTATTGGATCCAATCTCTTGAACTTCTTCGCTGCAGTTTTCTACGATTTTCGAGGCTCGCTGCGAGTTTTAGTCTCCTGGCAAGCCACCAGGCAAGTCTGAGAGGCAGCGAAGTGATGCTCCTCAGAATGAAAAAATGCGCGAAAAACTGGCAGAATATGAGAGAAGGTCAGAAGGGGAGGGGAAAAATCGGAGATCAGGAGATCTCAAGCCTTGTGCCAGCAGCTGTAGAAGGGCTGCACGTGAAGCAGTCGATGAATTGAGAAATACCTCGAAGAATCCACAGGCGCGTCAACTCGAGTGTATAGTGTACTTCAAAGCACCACAGAGGAGGCATCCGTCAGGCTTCAGTACACTCTGAGGCGCAGGATGGCCTTCATTCCGTTCCTGACGGGAGAGCGCAGGCGAAGCCCTGAGCCTACTCCCGTGTTCCGTACACATCCCACCAAGCTGCAAGTATGGCCCCAAACGGAGAGGCGAAAGCAACCCGAAGCCCACGCGCGGTGCAGCTACGCAGCAGCTACTTTATTTAGCGCACGGACCATCCCAATCTGTCCGAATCTTTTGAAATCCTTTGGGTGGGTCAGGGACAGTCCGAGTATCCCGAAGGACGCCGGCATGCAGGAACGCAGACCAAGCAGCAGGATGATGCCCAGCCTCGTGATTCGGGTGCTTGTTCTGAAGGTCCTTTAAACGGATGGAGCGTGAGAGAAGTCCCTTGAAAAAGGGGGCATCCTGCAACTGAACCAAAGTTCTTGCGGCGACAGGCGATTTGAACAACTACCATGTGATTTCTAGCAGTGCTGTTTCGCTGCTGAGCCATCCTGTGCGCTGCGTGGCGCATTGTGATGGAGCTCTGCATGCTTGGCTGCGGGACGAGGCAGGCCCTACGTGTGCTCTCGTCGCTGATGCAGCGCTGCATCGGCTCGGTTGCAAGCTCTCGCCGGTAAGGCCTCTAGGGCTCAACTTAAGGACATGCAGCCACACTGCTCGTGACTCGTGGCTCGCAAGCTGGTCTCCAAGATTTTGAAGTTTTCGCAGCTTTTCCGATGCATTCCGCAATCCAATCGTAACGGGGGGACGCTGTGATCAGAAATTTCATGGGAGGACCTTTGTTTGTTGTGCAGTGCATATGCACATTATGTGTATATGTATGCATGCATATACCTAGCGATATCGGAGTGCCTTCGCATCTTGATTGCGACCCAGTGGCGGTGACCAGCAAGAAGGGCTTAGAAAGTAGGCTGCCTGAAGTGGGTTTTAACTTCGAAGGTCTGTGGTCTGTGATCCAGGTTTTAGGTTCGGGAACCGTGGTTGTGGCTATCACGGCCTCGGCGGATGGCCGACTGGCAAGTTCGATTCTTAGGGGTTCGATTCTGAGGGCACGACTGAAACTCCGGATTCAGTAAGATCTGTCGGACAAGCACGGGCCTGGAGCTTGTGCCTTCACAACCCAATCCTTTGCTCTGCACTTCCTCCGTTGGGCCCAACTGTCTGACAGGCTAACAGCACTCCTGCTGTGCTTCTCCTACTCCTGTGTCTCCTACTGCTACGACTGTTCTTGTTGGAACTCGACTATTCTGAATAATATTGGTACACACTTATGACTATCAGATGACCCTGACTAGACTTCCTCTGCTGCTAGTAAGCAGCAACTGACACGATAGCCATCACAACTACGTTTGCTATTAGCAAGTCATGTTCATAATGTTCGTTCCTTCCGAAAACTACCGCATTGGTACTTTGTAATACTATCCTGATTCCTGAAAACTTTCCGTTTCTCCGAGAGCCTCGCCTGAGCACAGCCACGCAGCGCAGCGTTTCCCAACCAGAAGCCCAGTATGGAATAGGAGAACCTTTGAAGGTGAGGGGACGCTCTAAAAACACCCCACCCACCCACCCACCCACCCACGGCCGCACATTCTTCAGGGCCAGGCGGCCAGGCGCATGTAAGATCACATGTATGCCAGACCACACACACGCCCACACGCTCACAAACACGCACGCACACACGCGCACGTGCACCCATGCACACAAACACGCGCACACACAGGCACACGCACCCCACACACGCAGAGACAGAGTAACGAATTTGGGGAACGTGAAAAAGCATCAGCCAAGTCCATTATTGAAGCTTTCGCTGGCAAAGACGTTCAACTCTACACCTGCCATGCATGAGTTCACCTTTGTCCTTACAGTGTTCAAACAAATGCCCCCCGAAGGATCGGAATTGCAATATAGAGTCCTTAAAGACCAAGAGGCCCGTAGAAGCTGTCCACCAAGTGGAACCCAAAACTTGGGGCTTCCGCGGCACGCCGCTTCGCGAGAGCTTGACGGTAGTAGGCATGGTTGACCAAGACCTCGCAGGCTCTCCGAGTTGCTTTCATGGCTACTCTCGAAACTGCCAAAATCTGCCAAACTCCTCGGCCATCTTTTGAGCCTTGCCTCCGTCAGCAGGCCAGTCTTCCAAAGAAACCACGAAAATCCGGCCGCAGTGCTCAGGAAATCCAAGGCAGCAGCTGGCAAGGGCTGGACCGCCGCTGGAAAGAATTGAAGACATGAGGCCGCATCGGCCGCATTTACCAAAACCCCGATCAGCAGCCAGAAAGGAATGTTCATAAGAAGCAGTGGCAAGCAACAGCAGCACGCAGCCAAGGCCAATTGGATCTGGGTTGTCAGGTACGCCCCGACACTTGTCCCAGAGAGGTTGCGGAAAGTGCTCCCGTGCGTCTTGCAGATGACAGTCAGGGCGTTGAGAAATGCTAGAAACAACATGAGCACGTTGCCAAAAGGCAAGGGACTCAGAAGCAGGAGCGCTGCACTTAAGCCAAGGTTGGCCAATAACCACCAGGGTCCTGCCGAGAGTTGTTTTCTTTTTCTTTCAGTTTCGGGGTTCGTCGGCTTCTGCATTTTTGCAATCTACGAACTTTGAAGACCTTTCTGGAAGGTGTGGGATCGTGCCTAAGCTTTGAAGTGATTCTTTGTGGCTAAGTCACATGGGGTCTGGGGCAAACGCTGGGTAGGGTGCGGTGCGAGTGGCTGCCAAACCGGGGGGGTGTTCCTTCGCTTTGGTGCAGAGCTTGGGATCCAGGGTCTTGGGGTGTTTTTTGGTGGCATGTGGCTGAGATTTAAGCAGAAGGAAGTGGTCTTTTACAAGGGGGATGTGGACAATACACCCAATCACGCCTGTCGGGGCTCTCGCCGCATCGGTGAACGCCTGCGCAACATGAGTACCGTTGGGCTAGCTTGGAAACACTTAGAGGATTCTATTTTATGTTTCAATTATTGTTTTGATATCAGTAATCTTCTTCATATCCTTGATATGATATGAATATGACTGATCTTATCAATACCTGTTGTGAACATGAAGGTTATTCATATTAACAATACTATTGCTATCTAAATATACTGTGGTAAGATCACAAGTGTAATGCCAGTATAATTCCTACGGCTGTTAATATTCTTAAACCCTATCAGTATTCACAGTACTACCCATATTATCATATTACTGATAGTAATGATACGAACGAATACTGATCACTAGTAAACACCACACACTATTATTGACACGGTACAATATGATTAACGTTGCAAATGATGCTAATATGTTTCATATTACTACTAGTACCCTTACATCTATTATGACAAGGACAGCGGTTACGATATGAGCCCCAACATGTTAAGAAGCCGAGCCAATGTCATTGAATGCCAAACCGAGCCTGCAGTCTTTGTGCATCAAGCTCTGCCAATTTGCGGAGCTTGTGGGCAACTTCGCCAGGCGGCGCCTGACAAATTGAGGCGGAGCCGTCAGCAATGGAAGCAGATCAGGAGGCTTCACCGAACAGGTCTTCAACTGGGCGGCACTTCGCACATGCTACAAAGTCAGGCTTCGTATTTCACCAATCCGGGCGGACCACTAGGGACTACCGGCACATCATTTGGAATAGAGCCAAACCAAGACGGCCAGAAAAAGCGCCGTTGAAACGGAACAGTGTGGGCCACACACAGCCGCGCTCAATTGGCCTTCACAAGAGCATGTGCCTGTCCCGCTGGGTAAACCGCCACAAGCCTGTCACAACAGCTTCCTGAGAATAGCGTAAGAAGCTTCGGCTGCATCATGCGCGAAATCGAGCACGCGCACGCGCCCGCACAAAGAAACAGTCAGAAACACGCCCGCGAGATGTACAGACAACTGGTCCGCGCCCCTTCTGCGAAACTTCAGGGACAATCTCTGCATTTTCTTTGGATCTACTGGCACCTTGGACTGGACAAGGGCTTCCAGTTCTCGAGACGATGATATGCAGAAGCCAATAGAGGCCGCCAGGATTCGGGCCTGAGATTTCGCGGTAAACTGAAAGATCTGTGTGCCCAGGCTGCCCGAGTCCCGCAGAAGTCGGTGACAGAAACGACGGGTCCCGTCGTTGACATCCAAGCACGTGGACATTCTATGGAAACGGTCAGATCCAAGCTGCCACGCTTAGCAGCATTTTGGAAGGACGTCACGTTCTTGGGTCTCGAGCCGGAGCGGCTACGGGGACAATTTTTGCATCAACTCATGGCTGCGTCTGTCTTAATGCTTTTGAAGGGTCCGCCTTTTCGTCTTCATTTGAGCGCGGTTTCATATCCATTTCGGGGGGCGGCACCTTGATGCTTAGACAAACCTTCTAATCGCTGCATAGATGTGTTGAAACAAGGCAACTCATACAAGTTCTTAAGGTTTGTTTTCACAAACCGTCACTTTTGGCGGCCGCGTTTGTCAAGCGAGGGTGGTGCGAGCCCGCACCAGCTCTGCAAAGAGCAAAGAAAACACGTCGATGTACTTCCATGTACTCCACCTTCCTTGAACTTTTGCTGATCCTCAAAACATCCAGATTTCCGGCGTGGTCCCAGGAAGACACCACCTAACACCACAGATGGGAGAGGTGCTGCTGCGCCTTGCAGGGAATGCCCTATGAGCTGATGTCCGTTCCTAGTCTACCCGAATCATAATGAAAATTCACCATGCTATGCAGTAGCTATGCGATAGACTAAGTGAGCACATACCCTTTGGGGGCTTGGGTGTTCTCTCAAAATACCCCGAGGAGTGTTGTCCTTGAAGAGTTCGAGCTAAAAATCATGTTATCGCAACGGTGATGACCACCACATACCATCACCAAAGGGGCGGATTCTAGGCTCCTATTGACCCCTTTCTCCGCAACCCCTTCCTGTCAAGGGCTTGGGACTTAGGTTCCCGATAGTGCTCCGGTTTTTCCGTTTGAGGTTTTGTGTTAGGGCTCGGATCTCCTAAACCCCTACATTTTGAACCCAATAACAGTTCCTGGAAGTGTCGCTGGAGCAGCTCTTGATCCTCTGCAGACAGCTTTGCGGTGCGGCTCTCCTTCTCGAGCTCGATCTCCATGATGTCCTCCCGGTAGGCTTTCGAGACTGGAGCTCAGAAACTAGAGCTGCACAAACGCTGCCCGCGTTTGTTTCACGTGGCCCTGTGTTTCCAATTCCCAAACCCGTTTACAAGCTGTTTCTGAGCAAGTTTTTTCTTTTGCCACCCTCAATGATAGCCCAAGCTGATGATCATACTGCTATTCGGGCTAGGTTCTTAACCAGTAACTCATACAGCGTCAAATGACGTTTGTTCACCTATTCCTACTTTCATGACTTTTAAAATAAACTCCTACACCTCCACCCTTCAGAACCCGGCCAGATCCAGCAAACTGTATTTTTTGGAGCGGGTGTGGGCGGTACCAGTGAGACTCCGACCTTAACCCCATCCAACCTTATGACATGTAATTAAATAAGTCTTGCTTTCTCCCGCAAGCTTTTGCCCTGCCGACCTCGGGGCGGATCGTCTTGAGATCAGGCAGCGGAACTTCCGCTGGGAGCCCCACAAATTTAAAGACACGCCGGACGGTGCCCTCCGTGTCCTCGGCGAAGTCCTGCGCGGTGGTGATGGGCTTTCAACTCTCATCCCATGTTTCGGTACGGTATAGCACTAATCATCGTCATCATAATAGCATTGTTTTTGCAATATAGAAAGACTATTATTCATACGGATATCAGTGCTCCCAATCTACAATAAGACGTAATTTGCCTCGCAGCCTACGAAACACTCACACGGAATGCTTGCTCACATGGACCACGCGCCTACGGAAGCATTGGTCACCTGCCTCAAATTTTGTGGAATTCCACTACATACAAGGAACAACCGATAGTCGATTAAACTGTGATTGTTGATTATTTATGAACGTGTTGCTATCAGTATGACTATACTGTCATTCTTGTTGGTATCATCGTGATTGGCACTGCTAAGTTTAGGCGGGTCCTTGAACCGCAGAACGAGCACATTCTTCGGGTCAAAACGTTTGTGGAACTCTCCCAGGACATTCTCCTGGGCTATTGTTACGCGAATGTGGCTATTTGGTTGAAGGTCGGGTACACAAAAACGAAAAAATTTGAAAAAACACAGATACCCTATTGTTTCTGCGACATCCTAATATAGAGTATTTAATCTCCTGAACAGCAACCCAGACTCGTAGTTGAAGCCTCGGAGCATGGATGAGCAAAGTACGGTGTTTGCCATGGAAGGCGTGATCCTGCGACGAATGGAATCGTAAGCCCTAAGCCCTCCAACCTTCAGCCCAACCATACCCAAGTTCGGAAAAGTGCGGGATAGTTTAGCAAAGTCATACGCAAAAACAAAGAACAGGGCCCTGAAGTCCCCATCACATCTGCATGCCCTACCAGGCATGTAAAGCTGTACCATTTGTCGACAACTTGCTATGAAACCATAGTCAGAATCGTGACGATAATTACCACAGTAGAAACAATCACAAACAACTAGTCCGTCCGAACGCTGGCTGCTCCGGCATCGAGGCGAAGCGCAAGCTCGTTCATCAGACGCCAATCATCTGACTGAGCTAGCTTCATCTCCAAATCATACCTCAGCTGCTGAAAAGGGGCCGCAAAACGGATAATCACGATATACCAGTTTACAACGTAAACAATTGTAGTGGTCGTATTGGTAGTGACAGGGCTGGTGGTGGTGGAAGTGGTGGGCAGTGTAGATGATGGGAAGGAGCAACGGCCTAAGCAGCAGTCGTACGAGGAGTAGCGCATGCGGGATTGTTGCTGACTTCCTGCACCGTGAGTCAGTCCCAATCTCAACAGCTCTGCGTCTCGCTCTTTCCTCGTCGCTGCCCAACTTGTACAGACTATACCGAGGTGAGTTGTGGTTTGCGTGAAATTTGTCACTACATCAGCCCTCTCTTGCGGTCGTGAGCTTTAAGCTTCCGAGCCACGAGATTCTTGAGCAAAAGATTGCATTGCAACATAATCGACATCTTGGTGAGCTGGCGACTGGCCGATGGCTTCCTAAATGATCTCAGTTGCTTTAAGCACAGTGTCTTGTCCCGTGGCTGATTCCGGAAATGCATCAACGCCGTGCTTCGAACTTCTTCACAACGTGCGCAATCGCTCCGTTGCAACTCCAGGCACGGTGTGTTCGCCGGTACTAATAAATGAGAGAGATTGAACAAACATCGTCTGCATCCCTGACCGAACATCTTCCGAAGGATATGAAACACTTTGCCGTTCAGTGCGTGCTTCTTTCTCCGTCTGTTCGCCAGGACCTAGTTCAACTTCAGGCGCAGTATGAGCAGACTCGACACCTGGACCTTGCAACGTTTGATCATCACCCCCCTCAACGTCCGTGACGGATCGCTGAGATCGGTCCACTGGCTCTACGGTCAAAACGTCTGGGTAGATACTTTCAAGGTACGTCTCAACGCCCTCGTTAGTGCTGGGTCGAACGCGTTTTCTCAGTGCTCCGACGGCCAGCTTGATCGTTTCTGATGAAGCATATCTGAAGAATGACCTTTCAATGCGGCGAATACATGCTTCAAGGTCTTCCTCCTTGGGCCAGTTCAAGAAGTACTGCTTGAATCGTGAGGCAACAGTCAGCACTTCCGATGCCAGCACCTTTACATCACCCATCAGCTCCTCCCATGGGTTCGACTTTCCATTGAACATCTCTTGGAGCTCTTCAGTGGTCAGGATGCTTCTCATGTAGCCGGCGTAAGCCGCATTTCCTGCATCATGAATACAGAGAAAGCGAGGATTGTCATCAGCATCATATGCTCTTGCCCGTGCGACTGTCTTCACCTTGCCCCCTTTAGTGCGGGAGATCGCAACGACAGGTCGGTCAGGTAGAACATGTAGTCATAATCCTCCCCACCCGGACACCGTCTTCTCGTAGTCCGGGTAGGCGATGCTTGAGATCCCCCATAGGATTGAAGACTTGAAAATGCGCAGTGTTTCGCAGATGTAGACTTAGACAGCGCAACCAAGTGTGCGAAGTTGGCGATGGAATCAGCATAGCAGCATAATGTCTCAACTGGCTCTGGCGGGCACATCCGACGCACGTTCTTGGGTATGGGAGGCTCGCGGAAGGTACCGATCCTCGCCAAACATCTTTCGCGCAGACCAACAACAGTGTTTTGGGCAGAAAAATCGTCAATCTTGAACCCAGTCATGTTGAATGTCATACTGTTGTCGTAGCACGGCCCGGGATAGATGAGAGCAACATCGGACATGTTCCCAGTCGTCGCCCCCTGCTGTCCTTCGTCTTGCTTGCTCTTGAATTTCGTGCATTCTGTCTTGGGAGACCCATCGACCAGAATCAACGCGTGAGGAAAAGGCAAGGTCCCTTGAACCATCCAGAACCTGGCCGTACTCTGGTTTGGCGAGCAATGTGGTTGGTCTGATACACGCCTGTCGCCCGCTCTTGCAAGGGTGCGGCCGGGAGCAAGCATGCAGTCAACATCGTCTCGAAGAGCAACTGCTTCTCGTACACCGCACATGCACGAAGGTGCTTTGCGCGTGTATCACCAGCACATGGTTGAGTGCTCAACCTGTCTACGTCGCTACGAGAGGCCCGAAGATGTTTTCTAATCTGTGTGCAAACAGCTGATCCGTGGACCGCGGTGCACCCACGTGAAGCTCAACGGAAGGATAGGTTCCTTGCGACATCAGCTTACCGTAGTTCCGTCTGTTCTCACTGATTGCCCAGGCGTTGAATGGATGATTGGTGTCCTGCTGATCAGGCGTGTGATTCTTGCTATGGGCTCGACGAAGGACTCCCTGAGGGTTGTTTCCATGTACGTTGCTTGGGTGCAGATTGTGTAGGACATGAAAGCCCGTCGCGGATGATGCCCTGCAGACACAGGTGGATGTGCAAAGTTGCTCTTACCCTCTCACTCACGCTCACTGTGCTCACCTTCCTCTCTGGATTAACGAGCCCCAGACGGGTCTCGTTGACGGTAAACGGGCTGTCTGGGGAATATTACCTCAGCTCCGACCATTCCTTGTTTCGAAGTGCTTCGTCAAGGTTCGGCGATGCCGCGTGTTGCCTTTCGAGTACAGTATGAATTCGCAAAGTGATCTCCGATCTCAATGATGTTGCATCCCCTGACCACCCATTTTCAGGTTCTTCCTCATGTTGCCTAGTCATCTGAGCAGCTCCTCGCACTCATGCTCACCGGCGGGAGATGGCTGACTGGATGCCTTCAAATACCATGAGTACTCTACGGTTATGGTGGGGATTAGCACTCCCATCCACTTGGCACGTGGTTCATCCTCAGGTGGCTACCCGTCGAGCCGTAACCAGACTCGGGCGTTAAAGTCCTTCAACGCTTCGGAACCTGGTTTGACGAAGACGATGCAGACGCCGCGAAAGCTAACTGCCCACCTAGGATGCTTGGGCAGCGCGGAAGGGAACTTGTTGTCGATTGACGTCAACGGCAACGGTTGCCCCATGGTCACGAGGTCATTCTCCGGTAACCATCAATCTAAGGTCCTTTCTCTTGTAGCGGACATTGCAACCTTCCGGTCTTCTTGCTAAACCCTCGTGATATCGACTGTAGTTGGCTTACCACGCACCTGCCTAGCAGTGCGGTAATTGTCGTCGTCTGCGTGTTGACGCTTGCTTCGGCACACATCACTCACCTGAGGCGCACGCCCTGTGCAGACCCAGACGAACACCCATGACACCGTGCAGTATCTGACCTTGTCAGGTCCACCTTTCGAAAGTTTTGACGGCAGCACCAATCCTGACCACGCCGAAGACGAAGTCGAATTGCCACTGAGAAAAGACACTCATCGGGAGATCAACTCCGAGTGAATGCTGACAGCAGGGAAGGAGAAGGCTTAACTAACCTAAAACCCCAACCAGGCACAAAGGGAAGGACAGGCCCTAACAGGGGAAAACCTGTGCATCTCCAGCAATCTGGGCATTCCATGTGTCCGAGGCACACAAGAAGAAAACTTTACAGGCATCGGTATGCAACAAGGCTCTTGCGGACAGTAGCAAGATGGTCAAGCACTCGCTGATTCTGGGCTTTGGTACGCGTCGACACAGGCCAACCCGTCCTACGCTGCATGCTGTCGCCAGGTAGGGCGGGGCGAGAAGCACCAAAGTGCGCGCAACTCCAAGCACAGTGATCCCACGTAGGAGCATAGCCCTCTTTGCAGAAAGGGCACCATTGCACAGCAGCACCGCTTTTATTGGCCTGAAGCCGTGCTGGGCTGACCACTGCAGCAGTGAGTACTGCACGGCCATGAGCACAGGTGGCATTCCACAGCTGCCAAGCCTGCTTGACTCGAGCTGCTTGGAACGTCGGGTTAGCCGCAGCCACAGCATCCAGTCTGCTCGAGGCTTTCCACACTTCAAAGCGTTCAAACCGCCATGCTTCCCGGAGTAGGTGCTTGATGCGCTCGGTCTGCAGGTTCCTAGCCGATGCATCGTCTGGGAATGGCCTGATGAGTCCATGAGCCGTCATGCTGCAAATGCCAGCCCATGCTTTTAAGGCGGGCAGCAACGGCATACTGCCAAGTTCCTCTCATGGCGCCGGGCTTCCAGCGAGCGCGGCCGAGCTGAACGAGCTTGGCCCACATGGAGATGCTGGTAATCGGCCATGAATTGAAAATCCAAGCTATGACCTTGCATCAAGGCACGCAGGTCGGGCGAAGCAGGGGACCTGCCTCCATACAAGACGCCCAGGAGGCGCTGCTGGAGCTGTTTCCAAGTGCCCGCTGCGCCATGAACAAACCACGTGCCCCAAACTGCCACAGGAAGGACAAGCTGTCGTAGAGGCAGGCAGCCGATGCGGCCAAGGCGCTGGCGGGCTTCGTTCAGGCGATCTTGGTAGGTGGGCCTGTTTTTGCCATCAATGCGGGTGCGAAAATCAACTCCCAAAATGCGAAGTGTGTGCACAACTGCAACAGTCCTAGATTGGCCGACTTCCTGAGCAGCCGCAGATCCTCGAGGGAGGAATTTCTGTTTCCCAACATTCTCTTAAAGGCCCAACCTGTCAGCCCAGCGCTCCCAGAACAGGAGGGTGCGAACGAGCTGAGCGTGGTCATGGACCACCACGTTGCAATCGTCCAAGTAGGTAACCGCAGTCGCCGTGGGTTCCTCGCGGCAATAGGCTTGGATGGGGGCCCATAAGATGGCGTTAAGCGCCATAGGGCAGATGGCATCTCCCTGAGGCAGGCTAGAAGTAACAACTTCGGCCTCCGCACTGAAGCAACCTTGCGAACCGAGCCATCTGTGCTGTTGGCTCCACTGAAACCTGCACAAGTCGACCATTTCCGCAGGCATACCCAGCCGGCCGAGGGCATGTGTGGCTGTGCTGGGGTGGGCGCGGTCAAAACACTTGGCATAATCTAAAGAAAGAATGCCATAACAGTGCACGTGCGCATTCTGCAAAGCATGTACAGCGGTGTGCACGCCTCGCTGTTGGAAGCCGCCATGCGCACCGAGCGGGGCCCACGCCTGTTGCCACGACTAAAGGACGAACGTCCCCAACGTCTAAACCATGCACAGGGTGAGGGTCTTGCTTAGGGAGGTGAACCTGCAGATAGTATTGCCACTCTGACGGATAGCTGCGGTGGTGAATCCATCTGTTCCAAAGGTCAGCGTAAGTCCGCCACATGGGGAGCGTCCAGTGCTGGATCTCATCACCGCTCCAACCATCAGGGCCGGCAGCTTTGCCACCTGAAGCACAAGCTTGCTGTTGAAGCTCACTAGCAGTGATCGGCTGCCAGCCGAGTTGAGGCGCATGAGCACGATGCCGGGCATGCTCGGCACTCCAAGCGCGGTTAGCGTCATCAGGTCGGACTTCTCGTCGCCAAATGCGCCGCCAGAACGTGCGGAGAAAGGTCAGACTGCAAGCAACTCCGGCGCTGGGAGTACCGTCAAGCGAAACGAAGGCAGGCGCCGGCTTGTTGCTGCGCCGCACCCACTTCCGCACCGAGCTGTCGGAAGCACGAAGGCTCTCTTTCCACTGGTTTAGGCGCTGCAAAGCCTCAGCGTGCTGCACTTGCTGAATCTGCGTTTCCAACTCGACAATGGCCGTGTGCAAGGGAGTGAGTGGGCCCTCATGCCGAGCGGCACGTCTGCGTAGGAGCAGGGCCTCGGCATCATTGTGCCTTGCAACACACCGTCGTGCTTCAAGTAGTTGACCTAAGCGACGCCGAAGTTTGCGCATCGCGAATGACTGGAAGTCACAGGGCCTACGCTTGCTAAGGGTGTCATTAGGGACAACACAAGGCGGGGAACCCTTAAGTCTAGTGTGACGCCACGCATTGTCAAGTTCTAATGCTGCACGCGCTTGCCGAGAAGCAGCTTCCACAAGGGCGTGAAAGATGCGGCTTTCCTCGTCAGGGTTAGGCTGCAGAGGGAAAGCCTCGCGGAGGCGCACTGCATCAGGATGAGAACGCCACACCTCCTCCCACGCAGTGCCTAAAGCGAGCCGCCAAGCACTGACAGTCACGCCCTGTGGGCAGGTGTAGCAGGCAGTGGGCTGCAGATGGTTAGTGTTTGCAGCATCGCTGGCAAGATCAAGAGCAATGCGGATGGGAATGTGATCACCCCAACTAGTGAGCTCACGCACAACATTGCATCGGTGGGTCAAGTTGGTGATACCATAGTCGATACAGCGGTGGCCCGCCCATCTGGTGGCAAACCATCGCGCGCAGCTATGGTCCCAGGGACCAGCAACGGCGGCGGACTCATCTTCAAGCGGCTCAAGCCACTCATTCTCTTCCGGTGTCCAGTTGAAGTCACCGAGAAGAATCCAAGGTTGGCGGGCCCGACGCGCCCAGAGCGTTTCGCACAAAGCTTGGGTCATGTCACTGACACTGTCATCATCCGGTCTGCGGTAGACGGCTGCCATGAAGAAGGAGCCAAAGTCTAAAGCAACAAACTGCCCGGCCACCCCTTGCCAAGAGCGCACCGGCTGGATCTTTATGCTGTGTCGCACAAGGACAGCGACGCCGCCCGAATGAACATCATAACCACGGCGAGACCTTGTGGTGGCGCCCGGCACGTGGAAAGCATGATATCCTAAGCGGCTGGCTTGAGACACAAAGGCCTGGGCTTGCTGATTGGAGAAGCACACCTCTTGAAGGGCAATGACATGGACTTTAGCGAGCATATAAACTTTGGCAGCTTCGAAAGCATTCGCGCTATCCGCCACATTCAAGGTGAGCAAGGAGAGCTGGCGTGAGGCATCTGGCCCTGGATTGGGTTCAATGCCTTCCTGACACAAATCCCTGTACCATCTCGTGCAGGTCCACCTTTCACTGGAGCACAGATTCTTTGACCATGTGTACAACCATTAACGCGAAAGGATCTCCTTGCGGAGCCAAGGCACCGCGATTAGCCTCGTTGATTTCCTCCTCCGGTGGCGCCTTAGGAATGGGTGGAACCAGCACAAGCCGACCGTCCACAACTGCCATGGTGCGTCCACACCAGATGCACCGATAACTTTTTCCATTGCGTATTGGAGCACGAGCAGGGTGGTCCTTGGTCTCCTTTGCCGGACTCAGTGATGGTGCCTGCTTGAATTTGGATGGATCCTAGCCGGCGACGTCACAGTATTTCTTGACAACCACTTCCACATGTATTTCCATGTTATAGGTGACGGTTCGCACCAAGGTTTGTCATGCGACTCGGCTTCGCTCTAGAAATGCGACATCCCGGATACAGTCCCAGTGGTGTTTCTTGCTCCCAGCGAAGTTCCTGGCGTAACATGTTCCACCTCCCAGGCAAGTTAGCCTTGGTCCTGCCATCTTCAGATCACCCACCTACAACTGGAGTTTGAATGAGATACAAGGATGGCCACTCGTCAGTTAGAGTCCAAGGTACAACAACACCAACCTTTTGGTTGTTCCCAGATGGTGCCTGCGTTGGGATGCCATAGAGCACTTTTCCTACGCGACATACTGGGCGTCGAGAAGTAGTGATGGGTGCTAAGCTTCATCGGGCAGCTCCACCCGACATGGTGCCCCAGAGAGGCATGCTTGCATGTAGGCCTGGATGGCATCAGCCATTCAAACATCACGACCCGACAAGCATCCATCATAGAAATCTGCCCATCTTGAAGCATCAAATTCGGCACGTGAGTTGCCCAGATCCTGAAACAACGCAGCCTCCATGTTCTGGTCCTTCACCTGGTCTCTTTTTCGGAGCTGGATCGTCTCCTTTGAGTTGATAGCTCTTCTCGTAAATGAGTCCATCTATCCTAGCCATGGATCTTTGCACCAATACGCTTGGCCACTGCCACAACATCGTCATACTCCCTGGTCTGTGAGAAGTGGAAAGCGTCTTGGCCCCAAAAGCCCTTCCATTCTTTCGAGAATGCGTCCATGGCCTTGGGCATACATATCATTTCGTTCTCGTGACAGGTCGAGTGACCCTCGCATTGAAACATGGCTTCATATCCGCGCTATTGACACGATGCTTTGCGGGTACTGTGGTCGCGCGTGACATGGCTGGTATAACGTCAGCCAAGAACTCGTGAAGGTACGCGTTGACGGCACCAGTTTCCCATTCCCACCCCTCACAGTCGTCGTTCGTGGGTTCCAGATCCATTTATCGCACTGCGCACTCTTGGGGAATATCATCTGACCCAACAACTTGCTGACGACCTTCTTTCCCACTGCGGCTTTCCTCCTTTCTGCTTTCGACGCTTTGGCCTTTTCCCTTGTTGTCCTTCTTGTGGGCAGCAGCTCGGCGTGATGCCAAGCTTATCCCATTCCTCTGGAGAGTATAAATGTGCTTTGGGGGTCGAGTCGGCACGATTCTTCTCCCGTGGCTGCCAACTTTGCGAGGCACTCCTAGCTTGTCGATCTTGCGTGGCTCTGCAGCATCGTTAAGGTATGCCTTGCCGTCGCCTTTCGTCCCTGTGTGCCAGTTCGAGTTCACCCTTGATGATTTTGAGTTCTGGAAGCCTTGCAATGATGATGCCGGGCGATCCATCAACGCAGCGAGGCACAAACCTATGGTCGACATAGTCCTATCCTTCAGCACGTGCCTGTTCTAGTGGTCTTCTCGCACTTTCGGCCGCCTTCAGGTTCCCCTTCCGCGTCAAGACTTTCATCAATGAGAGCTTCGTCAGCAAATAGTCTTTCCCTTATGAGAACCTGCTCTGTCCCTCCAGGCTTAGCCAGGTGGAAGCTTTCTGTCTGATCTGGGCTCATCGCATTCCAGCTTTTTCCGAGCTGGATTCATCGCATTCCACTTTTTTCGAGCAAGGACACGGGGATCCCACCGGGTCCGGGCTGAGATCATGGAAGCCATCTTGCTGGAAGTCAGCTAGTCCACGATCTCTCCATTGCTTGGACTTGTGCCAGGCCACAGCTGCAATGGGGGCCGCCGAGTGTCAAGAGACTGCCCGCTCGAGATGTTTGCCTCGGCCCTGTGGACTGCACCTGTGTATGGCCTGCTGAATTCCTATGCACGGTGGTACACGTTGGTTGCCATTGAAGTCAATAGGAACATCTATGGTCAGCTGTGGCTGCAGCATGCATCGCCTTGCATCCGTTTTGGTTGCGTGATGCTTCACCGAGGCTGCCCAGATGTCTTGCATTTCGATGTCGGCGTACAGACCCAGCTGCTGGAATCCAAGACCACAGCCTTCCTGTCTTGGCTGGGCGAGCTGGAGCCTGGATGGCAGCAGCAGGGCCACCTCAGAGTGGTCAGGCGTCGACATTCCATCAGCAAGACTCCTGGGCCGGATGAGAAAACGACGCCAGAATGCAACCGCCTGGGGATGTCCGATCTCGGAATCGACTACCATTTCCCAATGCCAAGCTCAAAACTGGAGTTGTGAGAACATGCACCCGAACAAGAGTGCCAAAACCGCTAAACAGAAATCTGATTCCGGGAACGTGCGTTTTGGCCCGCTCAACACCAGAAGTGCTAACTGGAACTGGTAATTAGGTCGGCCTACCTTGGGCCCCACCACATTTCCGTTTAGCACGGCAGGAGGATGCGTCTGGTGCAGCCCAACCCGCCAACCCGGAATGTGCGAGGTAGCCTCCCTTCGTCCCATGCCCCAATGTATTTCCTGCAGCTATATGATGTCGGCGTCTGTTTTTGTGCTTGAATGCACTGACGAAGCGTATCATACAGCTCGGCAGTCGTGCCTCCGACTTTGTAAGACAATACCTTGAAGCAACTGGCGGAAGTTGTCTCCTTCCCAACAAATGAGTGTTCCACTGGCCCCGGTAGTATGTACCACCAGTCTTGACACGCCCTGCCATATGCACGTCTGCGCATCCAAGAACACGAAATTTTCGTGCGGTTCCGGTCTCCCGAGTGTGCCTTGGACGCGTGGCTGGAGGGTTTCTCCGCAGAATAGGTGAACGCCGAGCAACCAAAACAGAGAGTATACAGAAAGAACTATGAACGCTCACGGTGGGAAGCTACGTCAGCGTCTTTCGGTTCCAGCCGAGACCTGTAGTAGCAGCAGCAGCAGCAGTAATAGTAGTCGCATTAGTAGTAGTCGTCGTCGTGGCGGTGGTGCTGGTAGTGGCAGTGGTGGTATTAGGAGTAGCCGGCAGTTGTGGCAGTAGCAGTAGAATTCGCTATGCCAGTAGTAAGTCGTCGTCGCACTGGAACAAGACCTAGAATCGAAAGTAGCAGGAGTAGTAGCAGAAGAAGTCGCAGGAGCATAATTGCCATCGCTGCGATGACACACAGGACTGGCGAAGCATGTGAATGAATGGTAACAATAGAAAATAATAGCACCTTCAGGCGTAGCCGAGGACACTGTAGTACAGGGCACTGCAAGTTAGCAAAATACACTCGAATACAATGTTACAATGTAGTACAAGAGACACGACTGTCGCACCATGAAGTAGCCAAGTATGAGAATGTGGATAACGAGTCCCTGCCCGAAAGGCCACTTCTGCATCTGCGCTCAGGCAGTTTATAGCGACAGCAACAGAGCCGAAATATAAGTAAGTACGAATACACTCCCAAACCACTTAGTATCAGCGGCAACCAGAATCAGCTTCATAATGCTATCATTACTCATTAACAGCGGCAAGACCCCTGCTAAACCCCTGGAAACCCTAGCCGCTAAACCCCCAACCAACAGAACCTACCGAGCCGTCTTGTCTGTGACTTGTTGCATGTCGCGCAGGCTGAAGCCGTGCTCACCCCGGCCCTTGATCCTGCACAGCGAAGTTGCACCGGTCTTGTGGGTTTTGGGTTTAGGGCCTGGGGTTAAAAGGTTGATCAGATAATGACATCAGTGTTGGCGGTCATTCCCAAAACCCTTTGTGCTGCTGGGGGAGCCTGTAAAGGCTTCCCTGAAACTCAGGCAGGCAACACGAGCTTACATAGATAAAGCACATGTTTACTTCTTTACCAATTCATGTACGTATGCATGCATAATATACATATATTGACATATATATATATATATGCTTCTTTATGCTGTGAGTCCCTTTTCTTGGAAGGGGGGTCCGTGCAACAAGGATCCAGATTTTTGGCTGCACAAATTCGCTTCCCTTCATTGGAAAGCACCCCTGCTTGAGGGAAGGACGGTATACGGATCACATAATGCCTGATGTTCAAAACTTCGGGTCTATGTGAGAATCGTGAAGAGGGGAGTGTGGGGGTTTACACTGCTACATTCGTTCTAAGTAGTTGTGGCTGTCTTAACTAATGACTGCTTGAGCTTGTTCTTCGTTGCTCTCCACTGAAGCCAATAGAATGAGACTGCTGCCAGTCTGCATGTTTAATTGAGGGTGAACACTGTACCACCAAAAAATCCGTGTCCGGGAAGCTCTTAAGCGTCGAATCTGAAGGTTACGCCCCTGGCTGTTGCGATCCATGCAGCAGCGAAATTGCTCCAAATGATTTCCGCATCTGCCGCGGTGTAGCTCAAGGAGATACAAAAATACATGTCAGCAGCCGACAACGGTCCGAGCCTGCTACAGACAGTAGTTACATTGGAACGTAACAGTTCGGACAAACCTAATTATTGTAGAGCAGTTGACCATATGCCTGGATCTCATTTTGTACAAGGAGAAGGCGCCGTCGCACGGCTCCCGGCACAATAAGACAATCTTGGCATTGGGCGTCATGCGCCTGTGCATATGGGGGTTGGGTTTACAGAGGGATGTGCAGAATGCAGGGACCTAGTCTAGGGATGCTTCACGACACGGATTCGGGCAACCGGCCAGAGCTCCACAATGCTACGAGGGCTGCAGTCTGACCTGCACAAGGTCCGAAACCCCAACTCTTACGAGGGCTTCAGACAGTGCCTGTACATTGCAGATGACAGCTCTGGCATGACGGCAGCGGTTGCGTCGCCATCGAGTGT